TCACAGTGTTCACGTTGCAGTTGTATGCGCGCAGACTGTCCTCTCTGAAGTGCCAGTCGAATGTGTCAGCGTGATCGTGGGGCAGATTACACGACGGCGTTATTGAGAATTTTCGTGGTTAAGCCTATGGATCGCGGCGAGGGAATTTGCCTTGCGACCTGTAGCTGATCCAAGTAATGTTGGATTTGAACGAGTGACAGTTCGTTCGAAAGTCGTTGAAATGGTCTATCGAATGAGACTAAACAATGTCTCCGCTCGTTAAAGATAGGTAACTTTTGGTGCTTGGATATCGGCGAAACACTGCCCGGAATTTACAATTCAAGGTACATGGAGTGTACTGGAGTGTACTCTAGAAAATAGTCTCACAAGGTGGAGCTTTTAAAAATACGATGTGAGTGTGTTTTCTCTTTAGGCTGCATCTTAAAGCTGTCGCTAGTTAGCAGTCCATTTCCGGTGTAGAGTTTGGGGACGGTATACCAAGGCTATAATGCAGGTGTCACTGCCATGTAATTACAGGCGGCACCAAAGAGAATCGGCGAACTGTAAGTCTGAATCCTCAACGGCCTCGCACTGTATGTTGCTTCGGTAATACAAAATTACCCCTCCACCTTTCGTAAGCCTGTTGTTTCGTATGAGTGACATGCCCATCAGCGAGACTTCTGCGTCTGTCATCCCAGTGTGCAAGCATGTCTCCGTGACACCAATAATATTGCATGGCTTCTTCAGTTTCGGCAAGCTTATTGAAAGCGTCTTGAGCATTTGTATAAAGGCCGGATAGTTTCTAGGTTTCTAGGAATTCACAGGGAGCCAAAGGAAGAAAGTGTGGTAGAATGCTGACAGATGTGAGATTGTCCGTTATCCGTCCTTTTGATGCAATGATGATGGCGCCTCGTTCACAAACTGATTTGGCCAAGATATGTCCCATTCCTCGTCCGGATCTACTGCAGAATCGCGTGACGGAAAGGTTAAGTGATGCTCATACGTAATCTCTGGTAAGATTGCTTTTTCAGGTAGGCTCATCTCTGGTCTTCGCAAGGCTACAACAGCTTTTAATCGATGTTCAGATGGAACGCTTTTACAATGTGTTTGCCAGCGTTCTAACACTTCTGTTGTTGTCTGCTCTGACTGAACCAGGAGTTCTAGGATTCTTGATCCACTTCCTCTATAAGTTGGTGAGAAAGGTAGCCTTTTGAGCGATCGCGCAACAACGTTGTCCATGGAAAGTCTTTCACAAATGAACCGCCACTGTTCGAAATCCTGATTACCCGTCTCATGACTATTGTGGGAAGCAAGTTCTGGCACGCCATAGGTAAAGATGATGCTTAGATAATCCAGATTGCTATGTCCATTTGTGAGCTTTCTTTTCTATTGTCGCGTGCTCCAAGGGTCCGCAGGATACATGCGTACCTTATAAGCTCGTGTTGTAGCGCACTTGCAGAGAGTAAAACCTTTTCTTAATCAATGGCCCATTCTAGTTTTTCCCTAATAATTCTGGGTTCGCCATAGTGTGCAGAGTTCGGGTGACGGCTAACTCTCACTGGGTTTGTGGGTTGGGCTTTTACGTTCCTTAAAATGCACTTTGAGTTCCACTGGTCTTGGTCGTCAGATAACTTACCTCGCTATGTGATGGCGGTAGATTCGAGGACATTGGAGCACACGACAGTCAGGAAGTTATTATTGGAGCCCTTTTTGTTGAACTGCGTTGTCGGGTGATCGTTTTACCTGGCTTTATGCCAAGTGATGATGGTCTACGCTTTGTCGCTCGCTTGGCGTTAGCGGTGTTTGCAACAGGGGAGACACCAAAGGTGGCATCTCGATGGACTTTTGCAGCGATCTCTGCATGTGTGACTGGGGTCTCAAGAGATTTAAACTCGGCCAGAGACCCTTAGGTTGCAGATGCAGTAGACTCGGGTTCGGCTGTCTCATCCTTGTTAATGCTACAAGTTGTCAAGACCGGATTAATTTGCTCGATCACGCATTTCTAGTGGTGCCTGATTTTCGGGGTACTGAGTACAGCTTCTCCATCAGAGCTACGGTCTGTTGTTGCCTGGGGTTCTTCCAAAATTGAAGAAGATAAGGGCAAAGGGAACTATATCAATCGTGCTTCGATCGAAGCAAACTTTACACCAACGCTTTTCTTTGAAGCCATCGTGTTATTATGGTGCAAACTAGCTTGCAGTGATCTAATCTTAGCGTTCATTCGTTGTTCAACTTCTTCTGTTAACCGCTCGCACTTTTGACTAGGAGAAGTATACGTTTGACTAGTGGGATGGTCGGACACGCAGTATGAAATCAGAGATCGTGTTGGGAGCTGTTTCTAGCTCTCACGTGTTTTTGGGAAAGATTTGCACATTTTGGTTGGTACCGTCTGAAACACTGTGTGCAAGGTACACCGAATCTGACTAATCGGTTACATTCAGCAGACCCACATTTATCCTTCGAATGGAACCCTTTTGAAATCACATATGCTTGCTTTCTGCTACTTGACATAGTGTTGCAAGCGTGCACAGTAGGCTAGTTGACGTGAGAGTATCCCTTTATTTTCGCTTCCCCGATAAACCAGCTTGAGTTAGCTAGAGCCGAGGGAAAGCGTAGCGGAGCTTATTTTCGTGTACTGGCCTGTGTGACCTGTGCGTTTTTAAAACAAATTTCAACTCAACCAAAAACCCATAGCTTGAATGCGAAAAACACCATGATAAGCATCACTGCTGTAGGATGGTTAACTTCACTCTCCTAAGTGTAGCAACAACTGCTTATGGGGGCTGAGAATATTATGATAGATACAAATCCGCGCACGCGTTCGCACCTACTTTGAAGGGCTATCCACCTCCTATTGCACATTACAGTCCGATCGCTTTATCTTACAGGTGATCCAATGTGATCGATAGTTCAGTAGCTGTGTTTTCAGGCCACCAAGCTGGACGTTAAAGATTGGTGGCTCCTGATCTGGACCTTGTACCGTCCTGGGCAAGTAATCAAGTGTCATCAGGAGGTGGAACATCATGTGAGCTAGAGATAATCGTCCGTACGTCGGCGCTTGCACGCTAGGAACACGCGCAGCCAACATCCGAAGTACTTACGTATGGACAGAAATAGGATATTTAAGTGTCACGGTCCCATGGTAATCGACCGGTGGCCGAGTGATGTGCGCGTTTGGTTCGAAACCATAAGGTCACCCGTTCGAATCCGCGTAGGGGTAGGCGTCCTCGCGGTATACTCAACCCACGCGCGACTGGTGTTGGTCGCGCGGCAACGAAGCTCCGTTACGGCTGACACATTATTAGTTATTTATGGTAAAGATTATTCTGCCACTATTGGGTCGGTATCGCCGTTTGTATGAGTTACGAATCGTTTAAAGTGTGACTTCTTGTTTCTCATCGTTGTATTCAACCTGCTTAGAAAGTCCTACGTGTGATAGAATTCGATATCTTTTAACTGACCCCGTGCCGTCGTGCACCTGGCCGGATCCGCGACGCTGGCAACCGATGGGGTTGATACGACGCGTAATGAAGGAAGCGAAAAACTTACTGGTAGGAGTTAAGAAGACCCATTAAAAATCGTGCAACCACGCTATTGGCGAGAAAAATGCTCCCACTAATTAAAGCCGGAGTGAGTCCATTTACTCTTCTTCTTCGCGTCAGGTAAGCTTGCACTGCGGCTGGAAACACAGTCACCTATCTCCCAAAAAAGTCTTTTGTGAAAGAGGATTTTGCAACAGTATTATGACAGCTGATCCAGTCAACATTCAACGGCTGCAACAAGTGCTAAAACCTGAACAGAATTCGTAAGTGGAGCTTGATCTAAGTGGGGTGGTTATGCTAAACAGATTGGTTTAATGTACTACTAACACCGTAAACTAGCGCTACCGGGTATTGGCAATAAAACGCTATGCTACCTAAACAAGTGTTCATTGCAAAGAAATATAGCGAATCCGTGTACTGCGCAACGACAAGATGCAAGTATGGCGGCACAATATTGAAGGACAGATGACTCCGTAAGGCGTACCGAACTTGCTGGTGATATCTAGTGGTGGCGTCATGTGTGTTGCGAGCTTACTTCTTAAACAAACAGATTCATTATTATGTTCAACACTTAGCACCGACCACCCAAGTGTACACACTGGGCAATATTCCTAGTTCACATTTTGCGCAACGAACCCACAGACCAGTGTGATCCACAGGCTGTACATGAACGTGAGGAGAATGAGGCACTTAAAGGACGAAGATATTAGTTCACAGTAGAAAATGAGCTGATTTGGCGGAGATGTGCGCATCTGAGCTGACACCACAGCGTGAGGATGACACATTATGGCAATTCACAGCAGCATCGAAACGAAACACTTGTCATTAAGTCGTACGACAAGCAGTGGTACAATTCAATAAAGGTCTAGCAAGCGTACTTCAACAAAAGAGGGATGAGGTGCGACTATAAGTGAAACAGATAAACTGACCGTGCATTTGATCAGTGGACACTGACCCAAGCATACTTCACGTAGGCATTTGGCGACAGAACAACGATGGGTGGATGGGTCGGGCTATATTGCAGTTAAATTTCAACCCATGATGGTCAACGATCTTCCCAAATGAGTCTGTGGCATAGGCTGTTGGCTAGTGGTTCACACCACGGTATAGACCGTTGCCAGAGGCAAAAATGAAGCTGGTCCGTTAGGTCAGTGAGAAATGAAGTACAAACATGGGTTTGTGAAATTAAGCTGAGGATACATAGCCGATAGGAATAAGCAAGCCACTGAAACTGAAGGAATTCGCGGACGCATTTAAAGTTGCAAATACAGTACATAGTTTCTCGCCCATAGCCATCAGATTTTCAGTACTGTCCAGCTTTATTCTCCTTAGTTGGAAGTAAAGCGAAGGGTATCCACTGCTGTATTCCATAGTTTGAAAATATTTGCTACGCGAAATAACATGTATTTATTCCGTTTGTTTAGTGTCCCACAGCGTTTCCAAGCAGTTATGGGAAAATTTATTGTCATTATTTCGCAGACAATTCCAATGAGCGAGGCGCTGCAGATGATGAGGATTCCCTCTCAACTTTCTGCCTAAGTGAACATTCAGAAAAGGCGCACGGTGAGAGAAATGAAGCGGAATTGACAAAGAAAGGTATGTCCAACACGCACCACATTTCCCTGTGGCGAGGTCACTAATGCATTGAAACCTATTCAACTGGCCCCTGGAAGTATACGCTTCGTTCAATTTGAGACCTGAAAATAATTTGACAATCCATCTTGCCTCACACAGATAACGAAGGTAGTATAAACGTCCTGAGCCATCAATGTATGTTGGAGGCCGGAAATAAGTTGCCATCCACGTGCACTACTTGAACAACTTTCCAAATACAGTCTGCATACATATATTCACTTATTATCGTGTAAGGGGATTCCGCAATCTACACCTTTTAGAAGATCGTAGATTAGATGTTGGTCCGTTGGCGAAATGCGCTTTGATTTCTTTCGTAAAGAAGGATGCACTGTTTGTCCAGTTCAGCAGTGACTATATTTATCTTCTCTTAAACGATGAGGTTGCAGAAGCAAAGCACAACATATCAGAGAGGTCTGCGTTAGCCTAACCGGTCAGGTCTTCATGATCAAGGCGTACATCCCAATATCACCGATCAGAGTTGAGGTGACCCTTTGGTAGAAGCAAACCGGAAGTGTGTATTTCGACCATAATATATTTCCGCTTGGAAGTCATCTCAGATTTGGCGGGAAACTCACACCCGTTATTCTACCTGACACTTTCTGAGCTGTGACAATTCCATCTATTGGTGCACGTAGCTGTTCATGTTTTATAATAAGCGAAAGGATGCGGGAGACGATAGGGTACTGAGACTGCGCCTGGAACAATAGCACGCGTTTGGGTATTCAATATATCGAGGCATAGCGGTGGTACCGTAGGATGAACGCCCAGTTGCTGTGCGTAGTGTCACTCGCACCTGACCTCTAAATCGTTTGAAGGGAACAAAACGCTGACAGAGCATTGGCAGTCATGCAGGATTCCAGGTGAATGGGGTGTTAGAGTTCGGTAATGAAAGAAACAAGCTATCGTGCGATGGGTAGATGAACGGCAACTGGGCACGTGAAACACTAATCAGTAATAGTGGGGTACGGGCATAGCCAGTTATCTTTGCACCCACACGACCTTGTCTAAGCAGTCACAGTGACTCGCGGTAAGCGACAGTCTTTGGCCGCTTGGAAGCAGTGGAGTCATAACCCTTTCCCCACCTAGTGGGGGCAACACACCCGTGTACATTTCATAAGACAAACAGAAAAGAAAATAAACAAACATTGGTTCATTCGAAAGTTGTGTGTGGATAAACCGAAAGCAGTTCAAATTCTATTCGGATTTTTATTCGGGCCACTGGCCAAATACCTTGATCTGTTTCCAAGATGTCATGTAAGACACAAACAAGGGAAATTGAGCAACTGAGGGTTGAGTGCTGGAACTTGTTACTTCTGACAAGACATAAGTGAGCATAATTATTTGCATTGAAGGACAGTGTATTCTTTACAGATTTAGGCTCCAAATTGGGCACCCTGGGGTTTGGTCTTCTTGTCTCTTGGATGAACAAAGAGAGCAGCGCTTTTGTTCCCGAGCATATTCTGTAGTTTTGGCTCTCCTTGATGTCGTTGCTGAGGTTTATGGGATGGGATGGATTTCAAGGCAGTGGTGTTGTTTTGTCTTACGGCATGCTGATGAGCTGACATTGCTTTCCTTTTCATTGTCTGACTGACTGTAAGAGATGTTACCACATTTCTATTGAATCGCTAGCGATTGTATTCATGAATGAGAATGTTTGATGGATATTTGTGTTTGATTACTACTCTGGCTGTGATGGTTGACAAATCCAGGATGTTAAAGGAGACCACCAATGGCCATCCGTTGGTCTTGCGCTTGATACTGAAAGCTTTTGCCATTTCGTCCATGACATCCTTGTCAATCTTTGTAGAGATAGGCGTTCACTATCTATGGATATCATAATCGTCTCCTGATTATCCAGATTGGTATTCAAAATGAAGTTGCTACATATCATAAATGAAGGCCCCTTTTTGTCTTACGTTTCGTTTCTTACAAAGCTAGACTGATGTTAATGTCAAACGATGATGGTAAAACTTGTTGCTTACTGTTGCAAAAATTTCTAGAAGGCTGAGCCGTTTAGCTTAAATGGAAACAGGAGAGATCACTGCTGATCACATTTGTTGTTGACCAGGTAAAGTTGCTAGATCATACCAAGCTGTTAAAGGCAAATGACCATACAGTAATACTAATAAGTGGTATAAAGGTCATATGGGTTTAATACACTCAGTTGATAGGCATAGGTACAAACATGTTTTTTGTTTGCCACCTATATGTACGGTTTTGTAACACTCAGTCTGTGGAAATAAGGTATGTAAGCTCTTAGTGGGGAAAGAGTTAAAACAGAATGTCTGTACTTGGCCTCCAAAGCTTAGAATTAGTGTGTTGTTGGGGCTTAATACATGACTGAGAATGAGTAATACCAAAATGCGAATTTGGAAAGATTCACCGCTTTGTCTTACTCCGCAGGGGAACTTACATGCATAATTTCCTCTTTCAGAGTGTAACTGGGTGCAAGAGCAAGAGAATACCTCGCCCCCACGAAGTACGAGCCGAAGTCCGCTCCACAGACAGCTAGTGTGTGAAATCGACGAAGGTAAGTAAATCACGGTTAGTTCAGTCGCCATAAAATTAGGTTGTGGTCATTTCGTCCAAAGGGTGTAAAGGTGACTCTTCACTCTCCACTATCGCATGCGTTAAAACAGTTTTCAAAAAAGACAGCCCGGAATAGTTCTCGATAAATTTGAAATCGAGTTCTCATGGACATAAAGGTTAACCGAGTGAAAAACAAAGATGTATCCTATGAAAATGAAATATTAGTCACTGGGTTAAACAACAGCAAATTTCGTTAATCAGTCGTGCAAAATGCTGTAGATAGCCTGTGATAACAGGAGACGAAGGAGAGCTTTTGCTTTATCAGAGCGACAGGACGGTAATAAACGAACCTGAAGACCGCTGAAAAAGGCGAATTGTGGAGGTCACTTTCAACACGAGTACATCACACATACGTACGCAAATTGTAAGCTAACCAAAATCCTTCGTGAGAAGAACCTATATTCACCAAGAACATCTGTCGTACTTCGGACCTCGGCAATAACCCTACAAGAAACATTGTAAGTGAGTTGATTGCTTACACCCATGCGGCCAGCAAAATGAGGCTGACACAAGAGCTAAACGGAGAAAGGCAACGAAATTGCTAACATACCGGGCCATGCGAAAGGTTAACTTTAACCGGTGGAAGCATTATTAACAAACAGCGGAGGACCGACAGCAAGAGTGCAGTGATTCCTTGTCTGGCCCAAACTATTAGATGTGCTGAACACAAGACGGGCATCTGGAGGGACGGAAGTCACAAACTAGATTTGTATTTTTGAATATTGTTTCCGCTGTTTTCCTTCACCACCATACTATGTTGTCTTGGTACCTCACGAAACTGGTTACCGCATCGGTACATAGTGCTTGTCGTGCTAGGCACAGGTAGGTCAAATTCAACAGACTGCTTAGCACAATGCCAAGAATTGCTTACCGAGAATGGACTCGCAAAGCTGCCACGAGCACTTTACGGTGGCCTGGGCTTAAACCTTCAGGGGTGCATAATTGCTCCTACCCAAGGCGACTACATATTCGATCAACAGAGTAACGATAGTATCACTTTGGCCTAGTGAACCATTGCTTTCGACTGAAAGAATGACAGCATTCCTTTCCCGTAACCGAGTAAGACTTTGTAGAACTCCACTGGCATCATCGGTGCACCCTGTCAGCTGTTTAACAACTTGACCAACATAACTGGCATGACTGCCCAGATGAAGGAATCAAATGCCTACTTTTTGCACGCCATTCGCATCCAATGGATGGATGATTCCATGGTCGCAACGAAGCACGCCCATCACCTGTTGCATGTTCAATGAAACATATCGTGTCAAAACTTGGGTATTGAGCAAATAACTCACCTCGGCCGTCGCTGTTATCGATCGGTTATACGATGCCTCAGAAGTACACGCACGCGGTGCTGTCGCGCTACTCGTCAAGACGTTTTACGTCTTTTGACGAAAGCGCACTGCATTACGCCTACACCACAGCGAGGCAGGGCGCACTTACCTACTTGTCACGCCAAACCATTGCTATTACTTCTGGCGTACAATCCTGTGTTCTGCTTTGAACGAGCCGATGACAGAGCATCTGCTGGAGAGCCGTTGTATCTCGTTGGCGCCAGGCTTCATCGACGGGTTTCGTGTTTCATCTACCGCACATGGTTACTTAGTCAGATGGCGGTCACCTTCATCATGAATTCGATTCGCTTGGCTGTCATTCGTTTCAAGCGCATGGGAAACCATATGATGAGATCGTTTGATTGTTTGAATAATGTGGCATAACAACCTCGAAGTAACGCACACACACATCCCAGTACTTTTCACATTGGCCGCTCTAGAGAGAGAAATAGTTCAATGATTGCAAATATGCATCCATTAGTCTCCAACCTACGTTGTCTATCCTCCGATGTTGAGACACGCTGGGTACAGATCCAGTGCGCCTTACGAAAGTCCGCTACCCTGGTCCGTGGCTTCATTAGACGAGCTGTTACTCAGTGGATCTCCGCACAGTCTCTCCAATTAATGGAAAGTCGTCGAACAATTCCCACCGGAGTTGAGTACAACGCACTACGCAGTACCACAGGTGCTGAGCTCAGAAAGCCCCTCAGGAAGGATCGCGAGGTTTGGTGGACACAGCGCGTCTTCCAGATGGAGGGGCAGCCTCTTCAGAAAACTCCCGCAAACTTTTCCAACTTATTCGCTCCACGGGAGGCAGACGATCAACAATGAGTGAGGTTTTGCGTGAAAATGGCGGTGAACTTATGCACAGTCGTTATCGTCGTCTGGTACGATGTGTAGAGCACTTTGAAGATTAAATTAACTGGCCAGCAGCGCAACCGAGTCTAGCTTCCGGGGTTCACAATGCTTCCTGGTGCGTGGACGTTTCTGCACCGACAGAGGCTGAGGTTTCCAATGAGCTTCGCCTACAAAAGCGCCACAATTCACCTGGCCCAGAACTTCCTTCTGCCCTCTTCAAATATGGAGGTCCGGCTCTCACTCGCGAACTAACATCTCTGTTCTATCAGATTTGTACTACTGAAACCATTCCATCCGACTGGAATTTAGCGGATGTTGTACCTGTTTACAAAAACGGAGACCGGACCATTTGCTCCAACCATCGTGGCATTAGTCTCATTTGTGTCACATGCAAACTGCTAGCTTCCCTACTCTTACGGAGGCTCAGTTGGGTACGGCAACAGCACTTGCGTGAACAACAAGCTGGATCTCGCCCAGGTCACGGACGACTGAGAGCTTAAAGGTGGAATGGGTGAGATGTAATAACCGAGAGAGGTGCTGGTGATAGCGCAAGCTTGTCCATCCGCTCTGCTTATTGCAGTGGATTAAGCGATTCTTTACGGACTATGCGGATATTTGCACTACATGAACTTGATTGGGGACATGTTTACGGGTAGCATTTAGATTACTGTATCTAATTAGGGCATCAAGCTTTGTGCTCCAGAGAGGTAGCTGGAAATGCGTCAATAACAGATTACCTTCATCAGTTGAGTTCCTGCTCTTTTCTGGACGCGTGGGTTAATCCTATTCCTTCCAAACGGTCTGCGCTGCGATATGCTCAGGACATCAGCTGATAAGTAAGTTTGGATAAAAGGGAGGAGTTAGTCTCTTAAAATCGCATTTTCATCTATCCCATTGGAACAGCCTCTTTTAAGTGTAGACACTAGATATGCGCGTATTGGTCATCGCCAAGGAGTGATACTGTAATTGAGGCAGGACACAGTGCAGCCTCGTTCCTCTCCCAAAACTCAGATCTGGGCTAGCCCTGTTCTAACTATCCCGATGCAACATGTGTACAGAACCTGTCGAATTAAAAGGGTGCAAAATCATTCGTAGATGAAGAAGCAAGTACCGTTCATCTTGGATTTACAACAATGTTCAATATCTCAGTGCAGACCTTTCCTTTGACAACTTAATAACGGTACTAACACACAGCGTGGACTTTAGTCCGTCCAATCAGTTTCTCTTGTAGTCAGGGTACAATCTCCTCAGTCACGGCTTAACGGCCGTTTCAGCCGATTGGATGACCTATCACCCACTCATCTATTGTGTCGAGAAAGCGTAAAACGAGAGAATTTGGTGATCGCACAATTTGTTTTATGATAAGACGAGTAGTCTATCTGGCTACGAACTAATTTCCGACGAATCATCTCCAAATTACATTACACTTCTTCTACTCATGGTTGTTCTGTAATACCAGAGACAAAGCACTTTGATTACGGCACATACATTTGTGATAAACAAATGAGTTGGTTTGGCGGTATACATTATTGGCATTTTGCATCATTCACGTTATACTCGTCTTGTCCTGTGCTCTTTGCATCCCGTGATACGAGTGTTGCACCTGACGAATTTAGCTTCTGCCAAGAACATTTTAAAATAAAACCCTTTTACTCTAAACGGTTGTAGAGTGAATGCTAATGAACGCCTGTGCTGTTTCCTTTCAACCCAAAGTCGTGGAAAAACCACTCAATGGAGGCATTAATGAAAAACTCCAGGAATTTGGCATCGAAACCGAAACTGGCAGTTGTGACGATACGAACGATATATTGTTCCCAAAGAAATGCACGCATAATCTTCAGGACAAGTCAGTTAATCGGAGTGCACCGACCGATGAAACAGATGGTGTGTTATCATTAATGTGCTTACTTGATCGCAGTTATACTTTGTTAACTTACACGAACAGCTCAGAGTTTCCTGTCACACTATACTTTGTCACAAGTACCACCGAGTAAATGGTGAGCTACCGGTGGGTTTGAAAAAGGTTTCACGCCTCGTGCGCCTAGGTCTCAAGTACTATGCGAGAAGTACGTAGCTGGCTAAGATGGGTAAAAGAGAAGAATGTCTTCAGTTAGTAACATTTCATTGCTTGCATATGAACCAGTCGACTGAGAAAGCTGCTGTCGACCATTGCTTCGCTTGCGATTCGACATCAATTCCCAAACTTGGGATTTGCCGTGACCATCACAAGAAGGTGGTCTAGACTGCTTATACACACACACAAAATCAAGCACTTGCCAGACATCAGATACCGTTATTATAGTAGCGCATGCACCAGCGTTCCTCTTCGCACTACACCACTCAGACCAAGGTATGTACTTTAACACAGAACCTAAGCTAAGTTTCTAGTATTGAATAGTGCTGGTAGTAACTATATCGTGCATGGTAAGTTTGATAGACTACGGCCTCCCTCTATCGTATGATACTATTGGCTTCGGGTACCCGGATTGGCGTACACTAGGCGTTAAAAACTTGGGGCGTCAGGCGGATTCCCAGTTTCTCTGTTACACCCTGTCCGTTACAATAAAACGGATCAATGCAGTGCATTGTGTTCGAAATTCAGTTATCAGTCAGGCTAGCAAAGTAGTGCGGGAGAAACCCATCGAGGGAATGCTCCGCATGGAAACACAGCCCGTGGGGGGACGTTTCCATGATTGGCCGCATTAGTTTAATTGAACTTTTGGCCAAATCTGCATTACTTATTGTTCCCATTTTCTTAATCCCTCTGATATCTTCGAACTCTCAATCACTTCAAGAACCCATGTGGGATTCATTATATGAAACAAGCGCAATTAATTATTTTATGCGAGCTTGTACATATTGATCAGGCCACTCAGTTGGACTGTGCCTTCCAACGTCGAGGAATGAACCTTTTATGTATCTATTTGTTTATAAAGGTAGAAATTAAGCCTCAGTTTCTCACCTCACCTCACCTATTACCCTTGAGCGTAACTTCTACATATCGTTAACGACACTACCGAGACGATACGAACTGCACATATCTCCCAAACGTCATCGTATTATTACGCATTGAATGTGTGGACCAGTACTAAATGGCCCCACTTTACTCGTTACTTAAGGGGTGTACTTCCAGTTGAGTAATTGTAATCCGTTAGGGATTCAAAAATAAACGTCAGTAATGGTGTTTCTTAACCCCTCGTTTTTGTTGTCCTCATTCCCTTTAATTAATCCGCTTCAAAGTGCAGAACAGTTCGAACATGTACATGGTCATATGTCTGGACCATAAAATTTGTGGATGATATCGATAGTTCTTCAAGACTCAGGGTTCTTGGTAGGGAAACATAAGTCTGGTGATTGCTCACGAAGCTTCGCTTGGTGTGTGCCTGATGTAAACAGCGCGTTGTTTAAACTGAGCATAGGTCCCGTAGGTTTGAAGAAATGGTTTAGGTAACACGGGACTTCCACTTGACAGACTGGTACCGCTGCGCCAACTGAAATGGCTGGGCCACCTTTTATGCATGCCACGCGAACGGCTACACCGATGCGCGCTGTTCGCTCGCAAAGGACCAGGCTGGAAGAAATCGCGCGGTGATCCGCCTATCACGTGACAATAAACCATTGAAGCGCTGACTTCCAGTTTACCTGTCGTAGGTCCCGTGCGAATTCCGAGCTACGGGGGTTAAAGATGAAGAACACCGCTGGTTGGGAACTCTTTCGCAGATGGCGCAGAATCAGGCCCAATGGAAAAGGTGTGCACATGTTTGCCTTCAGTTTCATGATTAACATCATAAACAGTAAACAGACAAAAAAGCCAAAACAACGTGTGAAAAATACAAAATAGACAAACAAGGTTCAAAAACAAGACACATACTGTAACACTTCCTTTTGTTTGTGGTCTCTGTATTTATCACCTCCATTTCATGGTTTTCACTGGCCTTTCTATATATATATATATATATATATATATATATATATATATATATATATGGGTTAAAAAACACCATTATCGACGTTTATTTTGAATCCCTAATGTATTACATATATATAACGGTTGGCGGCATCCGGTTTCGGATTTGCCTGTCACTGTGGACAGCCACAGGACGCCTGCGCCTACAGAGGGATCATGGGTGGCTTGCGCTGCACCACTCACAGCTCCAACCACACACCCCATATCCACTGTAAACCCAAAGAAATAAGACCGGGTGGTACGTGGATTGGAACCACATTTCATCAACGGAGCTGGCCCACACTCCTTCACAGGCAAACGCAAGCACGCTGTATTTGGGAATCAAGCGCACACAAGACGGTGGGTGGACCGTAGTCCGCTCCACACTGACTGCATGGAACCACTCTTTGATCCTAGCACGGCCACAAGGACCGTGCACCCCGTCCCCTCCAGCAACGACCAACTGTCTTCTGGAGCCAGTATGGACGAGGTAGTGGGTAATAGACAGGTAGGCACCTTGTCAACATGCACATCGAGCGCAGTCTCACCGGTGATATCAAACAACAGCCAATCACTTGAGAGAAAGATAACAAAGAAAATAAATCGATATAGAAGCAAATGTTGGTACTCTGCGAAGATTGCCTTCAAGACCGAAGGACAAAGTTAAACAAGGCAGTCAGAATGATGTCAGCTACAAAATTAACTGCAAAGAATGTGACAAACACTACATCGGACAAACTGGAAGGAAACTATCAACTCGGATCAACGAACACAGAATGGCCATACGGAGACCACCCGCATTCATTAGTTTCTATGCATGAAAACCAAGAAGGCCACCACTTCGATCTAGAGAACGTTAAGATCCTAGTCCGTGGAAATTCGAGGCAAGCTGGAGAGTTCTTGGAGGCATGGTATTCTACTGACTGTTCAATAAACCGACATGTTGAAATAGATGCTATATATACGGCATTGCGAATGAAAGATCACCGAATTACTAAAAGAAATATAACGGAAAAGAGCGCTAGACTACTGCATCAAACGACGACAAGCGAAGAGTCCCACGCGCGTACACTACGAGGTGAGAATCAGAGATCGATTTCTATGGTCATGTGCTCGTCGAACAATCCAAACTCAGAGTAGCGGCTAGGAGATCGATCACTCACACTCACCGACGCTTCGTACGCGCCACACTGCTAAATACACTCGCACTGACGATGTCACCTCGAGTGGTGACGAAACGTTTGCAGTCAACCTGCCGAGCTTAGCGAATAATCAGCCAATCAAAATAAATCGAGTAATGTATAAGCAAACGGTGACATAAATTTTAAATTAATGAGCGTATGAAATAAGTTGTCTGCAAACGAATCCGAGATGAGTTCACGAGGTCGAAAAGTATATTTTACGGAAATGCCAGAAACACGAAAATGTTATCGAAATTAACTACAATTGGCTTAAGCGAGCTGTGCAAGTTTATAGCAAATAGTTTAAGCAGACATTAATGTGAGATACAAAGCATTAGGACAAAATTGAAGACCCACCACCTGAAATAAATAGACTTAGCATGCAAGCACGCGGTTAGTAAATCGAATGCAGCGTGCCTACAAACGCTGCGCCGGTTCTGCCTACGTTCTCTGCAGGACTCGTCGTCGCTTCGGTAGTGGTCCTGAGTGGCCTCGATCATGGCTCACTAGGCATGCCTGACTCAGGCATTCGCGACCGCATGTGCTACAGCACCATGCGCTCGATGTCGATAGAGTTCAACCCATCGGTGCTTGCCGCTTCCGCACTTGCCGCTTCTTCTCTGCATGTATGAGGTCTTTCTCCCGCACTTCGGCAACTGCCTTCGTGATTAGATTGCGCCATGCACTCCGATCAACCGCCTTCGATTCCCATGACCTACAATCAAGATTAGAACATGAGAGGCTCACTTTGATCATGTCCTGGTAACGTAGTTTCGGTTTCCCCATATGCCGCTTCCCAATACTCAGCTGACCATATAATAATTGATTCGGTATCGGCGTTGAATCCATCCGGCTCACGTGACCGAGCCATCTCAGGTGTCTCAGCAAAAGTATGCAGTCCACTGCATGCATCCTACTACAGCGCAATCCTTCTGTGTCAGCAACTCTGTCGCACCAACCAATGCGCAGAATCCGTCGCAGACACTGCTGATGGAAACGCTCGAGATATCGCACATTCCGACGATACATCGTCTAGGTTTCACTGCCGTATAGAAGAACGGATAGCACCATGGATTTGTACACCATCAGCTTGGTGTCAATGCTAAGCTGATGGTTGTTCCACACTCGGTACTCGAGCTTCCCGTATGCCGCCGCTGCCTTCAACACGCGGATAAGAATTTCACTGTGTATATGCTGATCAGTCGACATCACACGCCCAAGGTAGCAGAAGCGGGAGGTGGTTTTCAATACTTCAGCACTAATGCTGATTCACAGCAATATTGCAGATTGCACCTCCGGTGAAGGCTGAAAGAGACAGACCATTTTGCTTGTGTTGATGGTGAGCCCGAATTTGACCACTGTCGAAGCCAGAGCACTAGTCATGTGCTGCAACTCATCCGCGCTGTGTGAAAACAACACACAGTCGTCAGCAAACAGCAACATACGGATAGTCGTCTCACAGACCAGAGTTCTCGCAACGAAACGGCGGATGTTCAGCAACCCACCATCAATAAGGTGCTCCACACAAACACCGTAAGCACAATCCGCATCAAAAGCACAAGACATCATTGCATGAAGACATATATTAAACAGGGCAGGAGCTAAGACACAGCCTTGCTTCACACCAGAGACAACTGCAAAGTCATCCGAGGTCTCTCCACTCAGCTGTACCCTCGCTCGCATACCACTGTGCAGATATTCTATTAGACTTACAAACTTACGCGGACAACCAATCTCACCCAACACCAGCCACAGTG